CTCAGCACGGAACTACCCCCCCACCACCCCTTTCCCATTATGGTCCATTGTAAGAAAAGTGTAGTCCCTAGGGGCGAGGCGCCTCCTACTACCACTACTACTACTACTACTGCTACTGCTAGTAGCCCCTCCTGGGCACCACGTTTTCCTACACACTTATCATTAGGTTGTGATCATTTCCCGATAAGGCAACCAATTGCAATAGTAGTGCTAGGAGATGTCAGGAAGCTCTGCTGCTGATCGGACACTTCTTAGGTCGGCTATTTCCCCGTGCGACCCCTAAACAGTTAGCCAAGCTGAGTGCTTGAGGGCATCTATTTTTTCTTGTGAGCAAAAACATAAACGTGGAATGTTTGATAGGGTCAGGGAGGATGGTTGGTAAAAAATGCATTGGGCTTCTACGTAACTACCCCCCCACCCCGCGTCTGCGGATTATAGTGTCAGGGAGAACGGTTAAAAAATGCCCTTGGCCTCTACTTAACTACCCACGCGCCCCACGCCACCCTAACCCAAACCCTCTTCACATACGTACACGTTCATATCAAACATAGTGCCTAGGGGTAGGGGTAGGGGCCTACTTTCTCCTTTACTACTACTACTACTACTACTACTGCCATCTGCTGCTGCTGCTACTACTACTGCTACTACTGCTACTACTAGCACTAGTAGTGCTTCTAGTACTTCTGGTACTTCTACTAGTATGACTACTCTCGCGAGCTGAGTCGTTGTCGGAGTTGGGGTAGCGTGGGGAGCAGAAAGAGCCAGACAGGCCTATGTAATTCGGGATGAGTTGCAAGCCCAGTGGCCTCAAGTTTTAAGCCGCCGAGCCATGGACTAACAAACCAACAGTTGTGGGCACGGCATTCTGAAGCCTGAAGGTTCTCTAAGGCATGCGACATGCGTCTGGCTGCAGCTTCAGGCTTTTGTGCTGGAAGCCTTGAATTTAGGGCTGCACTCTGAATTCCGCTTGTTAGGGCTTCTGCTGGTTTCTGAAGTGTCTTGGATTTCTTTTCCGACCCTAGTCGCATGCATGCGAACAAGCTCGGCGGCAGCTTCTCAAGACTTGGCTGTGCTTGAGATGAAAATGAAGCGGCAGGGGGGGCCGGCAAGGGTAGCCAACCCCGGGCTTCAGATCCAAATTTCCCAGGCCTCCAGCCTCAGCGGAGATAAGTTGCAGGCCTGAGGTTTCATGAAGTCATCCTGTCTTTGAAAGAGCTCCCAAATTCATTGTAGGATGTTGTAGGCGGTTGCAGAGACACTGGTTAGAAATTTGCAGAAAATTAGCAGTGAGTGGCAGAAGTGATAACTAAGGCTGCCTTCAGAGGCTCTTGACAGAGGCCGTTTTGATGAGAAAGGACGCTTCGACACCCTGCACACAATGACGCAGTTCGGAGCTGATGCCATGCAGGGCTCCGTGCTCGGCTCCTGGCGGCAGGAGCTTGAAGCAGATGTTTCCACGGGAATCTCTGGCCTGCTCGGCGATGAAAGGAGTCGAGACGAGGGTCGGGACTCACAAGAAGAGGACAGTGACTCCTCAAACGACACTCCTACGCAGCAGCGCGGAGGTCTTCGCTATTTTGCTCCGCGGCTTTACAACTGGCTGGCTCCTCGCGTCGGCACGAGAGAACGATGTGCGATCGTGGTTGTTTTTGCCCTTCTGGAGGGTTCAAAGCAACGAGCGTGGGACTTTGCCGGGCACCAGGTGAACTACTTATCCATTGAGGTAATGGCGTGCGCTGTCTCTCTGACAGTTGCGCTGTGTGTTTCTTTTTTCATGGAGGGGCAATGGGCCGCAAGCTCAGTTTGACCGTGGGCTCCAGTGAGACGTGTGATGCTGCTTGTTGTTTCAGCCATCGCAATCTGTCGTGAAGCAATTAGCTGCTGAGCCTGCTAGCTAGACGCACCTTTACTTTTTCGCAGTCTGGAGTATTCAGTGCAACTGGTCACGCCCAACAACTAAGGGAGCCGATCGGATTTTTTCCTTTGCTGCTCTTTGGCGGTGGAGCTTCGTGGGGATGCTCTTCGCTGCTAAATCTGTTCTTATGACCATCACTGTGGAGTCAGGCCTGCACCACATGACGCTTGGTTGGGCCTCAACAGGCCAAAAGGCTTTTGGCTGGATTTTTTCTTTAGTAGACGACCTCCCGCATGTTGAATCGGTAGAACCGGCAGAAGAGATTATAGCTGGGTCTGCTGCAGAGCCCTGAAAATGTAGTGAGAAGCAGCGGAGTCCGCAGCTGGAATAAGGATCTTTGTGATGATGGATAATGTCTATGTCATAGTTGCTGCCGTTGTGAGCTTCTTTGTGTTCAGCCGACTTTATGGCAAACTGGAGTGGCTGTCATTGTCAATGTTAATCCTTTCATCTCCAGCTTTCTTCATCATGCGCGAGCGGTGTGACGTGAATTATTGCGGATTCTTTGTTTTCAAGAAGCACGACTACAACTTCTTGGGGATGACAAGCGCTTTCTTTGGAATTTCAGTGGGCGCTGTCGCATCAGTTTTGTCCGAGCGAATATTCAAGAATCTGTCGCGCGGGCTGAGAGATCCGGCTCGCAGCCGGTACTACATCCACCGAGTGCACTTGGACTTTGTGACCTTTGTGCTGCTGTGCGGTGTGTGGATTTGGCAGTATTACTTCAGACATGGCACCTGGGGAAGTCGGACAGATGTCATGTTTGGCTCTTGGAGCCGGAGACATTTTGTTTTATTGTTTCTGACAGTGGGGCAGATGTGGTGGGCTGGTCTGGTCGTTTTACACTTCTCGACCGTCACAAAGTCCTTGCTCCAGACCACAATAGGCGTCTTAAGCGCGTGCATTGTGGACCCAATCATGGGAATAACGTGGGGGCATAATTGGGGTATCCGATCTGTTCCCTCGACCTTGATTGCACTTCTCGTTGTGATCTATGCCATCTTATTCCAGACTGGAAGATTGAATGTCAAGTGGCTGTGGAAGCAAGCTGGCTTCTCTCCCAAGAAGGAGTATGGTGGTCTGAAGGCATTGAAGCAGATCTGCTTTGAGATGATGTGCCCGAGTGCTGAAGAGGAGGTACTCCTTACTAGACATCGATTTCTTTTTTTTGTTGCATAGTTGCATTCCATCTGACTTGGACAAATGCGTTTATATTGGTAGACAGGAGAACGCGGACAACAAGTCTTCGCCAATCTGTGGTTTCCTGCTCAAGTACTCCTTACCTGCGCATGGCTTAGTTGATCACACCAAAGGTCACATTGCTTGAGTAACATTTGGCAACGTTCTGCAGGTCTTGTACGTTGTCTCGAACGCGCTCCAGACAGAGTTTTCGATACACAGCCGCAATGCTGAGACCGTCTAAACCTATCTTGTGAAGTCATTACCAAAGTAATACGAGCTATGGCATCCCCTCTGCGTACGGACAATAAGATTGTGCGCAGTCAGGAGGCTGGCAAGAAGTTTTGGGGTTTAGGGTAAGGCCTCGATAGAGCTATGTGCTTCTATTTCCTACGTTGATAGAGAGCATTGCTTCAGAGCGCAAGCAGTGTAGACGGCTGTTCGACGATCAATTGTCCAGTCCACCAAGGAACACTGTGTCAGCAAATCGATTCTTTGTGCCACAGTCACTGCAAGTAGGCATACCCCTCTGTGGCATGGGTTTCGCTGTCGGACTCACTCTGAACACAGAGGGCCACCCGGCAGCAACAGAAATGCTTTTCAACTGAGCAAATACCCTACCCTGTTCTTCTCTCCTCCATGTCTCGCATCTGGAAGAAAGTCCTTTCATCTTCAGGTCTGTCCGGCATCAAGACCGCCTTAGATCCTAGGAGTTTGCCCAAGTTTTTGGCTTTGGGCTTCCTGCAGTCCGTCGTGGGCGCGCTGGCAGGTCTATCGATGGGCCTCGGCATCAACTCTTCACTGTATGTTGCAATGGGCAAGATTTATACTCCACTTTCGCTTTTACTTGGTTGGTTGATACTGGGCCGCCGTGCGCTTTGGATCGAATGGCTTCTCGTCACTGCGTTGTTTGATGCATCCATCGTTTTGGCCTTCATGGATGCTACCGTGGCTGGCAGCAACACTGGCAAAACCTCGAGCGTGGCTGCAATCCTTTGTGTGGCTGCATCTGCATCCGTTGCTTGCATCTATTCCGTCATCATGGAGGTAGCGCTCAAAGACTCAAAGGCGCCGTTCATAATCCAGAAAATTCGGCTTGATCTCGGAGCCTTTCTGTGGAGCATCGCCTTTCTGCCTGTGATGGGCTACCTGGGAGTCATTGGCGGACGTCCAGACTTGGCTTTCTGGGTTTACCGGCCAAATCCATACTGGGATTGCACCCTGGCAGTGGTTTGAGAGTTCATTATAGCATTATAGCTCATGAAGCGCTGACCGCTGTGCTTCCGACCCAGATGGTCTGCTGTTGGGGCTTGCTGTAGTAGTTTCGTGAAGTGTCAGCATCCACGGTAGGAAAGGTGTCAACAGTGCAAGGAATGGAACGACTCAATTTTGCTGTTCTCTCCATGAGTGCACGTTTGCAGACTGCCTCCTGATAGGTGATGCTCTGGGATCTTGCGACGAAGCTACAGGCCTGAGGGTGCAAAGACACACGAGTCAGTAATTCGCTGATGTTAACATCCCGCAGGTGCCTTTGTACTCACGAACACCACCCAATTTCCACAAGCTCAAGAGCTGGGCTGCTACTGTGGCCGTGGCGTATTTGTGGGTTGGGACTCCTGGATTGTCTACGCAGCGCTTGCAGTTGGCGTCGTCTATTGCTGGTTGACTGGAAAGGTTATTCAACACTTCTCCACGGTCATGCGGTCTGTTTTTGACGGCTTTCCGATAGTGCTTCTATGGTTCGTCATCACTCCGATAGCATCTCGAATACCTTTACAGGCGTTCAGAGAACACTACGTAGATGGACCAAAGCCGTTCATCGATCGTGACTGGGGCAAAGATCTCATGACCATTGTGAACCCGCTGAGTGCTATAGCCTTTCTTGTAGCAGCCGGGCAAGTTCGGGAAGTTGCGGAACTCAGTCGGAAAGTCGCGAATGAGACTTGGCGGTCACTTTGAGAATTAATGTCTCGGCTGATGTTTCCATCTACGTTGAACACTTTTACTGCACGATGCATTGCAACAAAAACAACTGTTGAGTCTTGAGGAGGATGAGGAGTACGAGCCAGCCCTTCCGCCGTCATCAGACGATGACAGCACTGAGGGCACAAGCGAGAATAGTGAGACTTTGCAAACTCAGTGTGGGTGTTAGGTCACCCTCACGCCGGCTAATGTTGCACATGGAGCTCTGACGTACACCCTAGGTGGAAGTTCTCCTTGGCTGCAGAAAAGGAAAGCTCTCAGAGATCTGATAACGGACCATGGTCACAGTTTCCTCGCTGCAGACATGGTGTTCGTCCTTGTGGCATGAGCAAGCCGGTCTCCAGCCTAGCATTGAGCCTCAAACCAGCTGAGTCCCTGACTGCCAGGGCATGATGACTTCACATCAGCTTCGATGTAGCCCTACAGTGCTGAGTTGCATGATTTCTTAGGTAGCAGCAGTTGATCAGCAGGAGCTGCTTTATCCATCAGCTTGGCCAGCGAAACAGAAAGGCGACGTGAAGAAATTGAACAGCTGCTAGCCTGTCCGTCCTGTCCTAAAGCACAGACTTTGCATATGAATGCCCCCGATTGGGAGTGATGAAGCAGATGCGACTCTATCAGTTTGCACCATGTCGGCATGGGACCACTGCCATGCCAAGTAGAGAGCGCAGAGGGAGATACTCAGCAGGCAGGAGTATATGCTGGCTCAGTGGGCAATGTCCATTAGCCATTATCCGCGCATGCTTGTAGGCCGAAATCTCGGAGGCCACCGAAGTTGAAGATGCAGCAGGGGCTCCAAGAGCATGAGAGACGCAGACGTCGATTCAGATTGTCATGATCTTGCTTTCAGGGGGCACCTGTAGTGCAAGAAGAGACAGGTACAGGCCTCAGTTGAACACAGAAGATGACCGCACTGAAATGAAGACCTTTCCCACAGAGGTCGTTGCCAGAAGTGCCAAAGGCCCTTGGAGCCCGTCGAGCAAAGGCACTGTCCTCCTGCCGCAGCACTTCCCGAACATGTACAGTACGTTTGTTGTGTGATGTTGCGTGGATGACGAAAAAATGACTAGCCTTTTGGTAGCTTTATGGAGAAATACATCCGTCATCATCCGTCCTTCCGAAGAACGAAGCAGCAGTGAAGCAGACACGAATACGTCCAGCAACTCGCTCCGCTGTATGTGCCACGCTCCGCGGCGCGCTGGACCGCAAGGTTTGAACTTAGCCATCCACTAGGATGGCAGCCAATCACTAGGATGGCTACCTTCAAGAAGCGGCAAGATGCCAAAGCATGCATGTCTGAGATGTGTGCAGAGAGACTTTCCTATCTTGCAGAAGCTGCCGCAAATGGCTTTTGACGCTGCGCAGGCTGAGGCACAACAACCTCTGCAATGCGCTGCGCACCTGGAACTTGGGATGCTGTTGACATGACATGCATTTTGACTGCAAGCCAGCGTTCAGGTGCTGCTTTCGCGAACAGGATCCTTTCAAGCCTGTGGCGGAGGCGGTATGGTGATGTGTGGATGCATTCAATCGGCTGTGCATACAGTGGGCTTTCACAACTGTGTGGACCTTCCCGGTCCATGTTCACTCGCTGCAGATCGACCATATCCTATACATGGCCGTGTTGCCTGGTCGACATCTCGTCTTCAACTTGGAGGCTCGCGTCGCGGTGTTTTGGCTTGCCTGGTATCTTCACTGAGGTGCCAATGCCACTTCTTAGGGGCAAAAAAAAAGCAAGCCGACTTGAACCTTCTAAGCAGATTGAGAAGCAGGATATGCTCTAGCGAGGGCCTGTGTCAAGAAGATGGGGCAGGGAAGCTCCTGGCACTTGATAGGAACGGCTATGGCCCGTAGGTTTTTTGTTGAATGCCCGGCCCTTGCCTTCGAAGTCCAGCGCTAGGTCTCAGACCTGCGCTTGTGGCGAAAGCAAGGCTTCGAGGCTTGCAGGACATTCCTGTCCCTTTGAAAAATACGGTCTCAGCGAAGAGTTGCCAAGCGTGCCAAGCGCATGTGCAGGTGGAGCTTCGAGGTCTTCGCAGGCGCTACCCCTTCAGATCTCTTAGTTGGATGGTCTAAGCTGGTGTGGCTGTTTAGGCGTGCTGCCTCTGAGCCTCAGGCGTTGCAGCAGGCCTTGTGCGTAGCTTTCTCAAGTTTGGCTGGTCTGGGCATGGATGTTGCACTTCGCAGGTATGGCCTAGCTTTCTTAGCTTGGACGTGAATGGCAACGAGGCAGAATCGCATTCGGCCTTCGGCATCAAGCTAGGAGCAACTGCCAGTGGCAGGTGTTTGCCACAAAAGTGCCCCTGAGAGGGTGCGTCCCAATGCGCACAGCGTGAAGAGTAGTGAGTAGGCGACCTTGTATTCGTTTGCCAGGCACAAGCGGCGCGACTTGCCGCAAAGCCTGTCTGCCAGCAACCCGGTTTTGCATGCCTGGCAGAAGCTCGACTGTCAGAAATTTGAGGCAAGTTTGCGGCGGGGAAGCAATTCGGTTGAGGTTACTGCTGAGGATGAGAGGAGGCCGGTTAATGGCCAGCCTCAGGCTGCAATGAAACAGAATCACTTTCAGCTTGCATGCCTCATGAATGGAAGCGCGATTATCCATGTGCTCGCCCAGCAGAACCGAAATTTTGCTGGGCATGAAGACCTCAATTCCTCGATGATCTGCTACCAGCATACTGGCCCATACTGGTAGCAGACAGGATAAAACCAATGAATGAATTTCTGATGGATGGGGGCTAGTGATGTGGTAGTGGGCAGCCTTTGAGCTTGGAGGCGGGATTTTCTGCTGGCAGTGGTGAGGACTGCTGGCTGTGGTTTCAAACATTGACATTGAAGTCTGGTTTTCGTAGCAGGAGCAGTGCCTGTAGACTTGATGAGAAAATCGTGCTAGACTTGTAATTGTGGCATTCCTGTTTTTGCAGTGGAAATCTCTGCAAGAAACGGAAGGCACCAGAGGTTATTTTGTCACCATCGGCGACTTGATAATATTCACACCCAATTTGTGAGTGTACAAGGTGTGGTGGCTGAATCTCAAGTGTAGAGTGAAGCGAGCATGTGATGTGCAAAGCGCGTGCATCTCAGGCAAACTGGACGTGCACTCGGGACTTTGGAGGGCTGAAAGTGCCAAAAACGTGGTGCAAACAAAGGGCCCCAACTGGGATGTGGGGCTGCAAGGAGGTGGGAATGCAAGAAGCAAGTGCCGCGTTTTCGGGACTTTGGAGGCCCTTGAGGCCCAACTTTGTTGTGGCGCTTCAGATAGGTGGGAATGCGACGTCCAGGAGATTTTGTCGCGGTATGCTGTTTGCTTGTCGCGGTTTGGTTTCTGCAGCGCTTGTTGTGGTAACAACCCCCCTTCGTTTGGGCGCATGAGGGAAATTCCAGATCCAATAGAGTCCATGAAGACCTCGTTAGCTACTAGTAGGGGTATTCTGCAGTACATGAAGCGCAATATCAGAACAGACATCTTCTCATTCATCGTTTTCCTGTGCAAGGACTTTTCCTCTCAAGCCCAAAGATCTTGCAGAAGGAATCCGCACGGCAGAGTATCAGGAGCGCACTGGTCTGCGGCGGCATAGAAATTGCTTATCAAGTTCTGTTGCAGAGGAATGCCTGCAACGAGTTCAACAGATTCTCCTCAGTGCCCGAACTTTTTCGGAAAGTTCAGGCTAGAGCTTCTGCAAACGTTCTATTGTTGCCTCTTCCTGAAACTGCTCGGCTGGAGCAAGCAATGCCCTGACCCTGTTTCAGATGCAGCTCAGAAAGCCACACCATCCACAGCTCCTTCCGAGGGCGATGGTGTGCTGCTGGCATGTCGGGTAGGTTCTTTCATCGCAACACACATCTCAGAGAAGATGCAGGTTGAATGCGTTGGGGACGAGCACCTCAAGCTCCTGCCGCTCACTTGCACAACAAGTTTTGTTGCTCAGTTACTTGAAGCAACACTGTAGCATCAGATGTTGAGCTCGGTGTGAAAGAAGTCAAGATCATGTAGTACGATCTGTTTCACATCTAGCTTCGCATCTCTCTTTCTCACGTATGTGCACGGCGTCCAGGTGCCCGATCACGCTCTCACGTCCCAGCACGCTGCCCGTCAGAGGCCTGCCCTGCACTCTGAAACAGCTGCTGGCCTCGGCGCCAGGCAAAGTGTTTTGCGTGGATTCACCTTTTGCCAGTCTTGCTGTGATTTTGCAAATGCTGCCTGCTTGGTTTGGCTGCCGGGAGCACCGTGTTGCATCCATCTTGCCTTGAGATTGGACTATGTGTATATAGTTGGACAGATTGAAATCAGGAGGGTTGAAGAACCCAAGGCATCTTTGTGTCTGATTCTTCTGTAGCAGTCTACTATAGTCTCCTCATTTCTGCCATTTTCTGCCAATCAAATATCCTACATTCCCTCCAGCAAGCATACCAAAGCGCATACATGATGAAGATAGGGGCACTCCGGAGAACTCCCTGCTTCATTTCAGTGGGTGTCCACCGATATTACAGTTTTCCTGTTGGCTCTACAGCCTCCAGCCTTGGCGGCTTCCAAGCTCTTGGTCTTGGTCTGGCTTCGTGGCTTCTCCTTCTGGATTTCATCTTGGCTTGTTGCTTTCAGTCGGCTTCGTGACTTCCTAGCTGCGTGTCTGCTCGGCTGTTGGCTGTCTCTAAGGCTTAGTGACTCCTAGTCCTACTACTGTAGCTGCTTCATTGTCTATGCATGTACTGAGTTTGGCAGGC